TTGGAAGAGGCTTGTGTATGGGTCAAGTCAAACACAACTACTCTTAGCATACTGTCTTCACAGGCTGAGATTGGGCTTGGATTTCTTCTAATTGTGTCCCTATTATCGTTAGTATCAGAGCTCATTTTCTTGCACCAAGTTTCTGTAACTGGTGCTGGTACTTGTTATTCTCATTGTTCTTTCCATTTTCTGCATTTAACTCTCCACATCCTTAAAAATGCAGGTGGCAGCGTAACATAATACAAGCTTTCATGTATTGGCAGGTATGTGCCATTCTGTCATTTTCATCGAAGTACTTCAACTTCTAAATGAGTGAACTCTAAAAGTTCTAGTAACTTCAGCTTCTTGCTCCGTAAAAATTTTATCAAGTTACATCTTGTGTTCCATCATGTCAGTCAGTACATTACAATACGTCAGGCCGCTACTATCACTAACTCTCATTGACGAGTATTCAACTCTTGTGCAGCTATTGAAGCTTATGTATCAAGCTCCTGCTACTGCTGGTTACCATCAGAACATGTGGGCTAAGATCGGGAGGCATGTAAATCCTCTGATTCAAAGATATGCTCCATTCATGCATACTCCTATTTCTACTATTCAGAGATGGTGGTTCAGGTAAAACCGTAGAACATAGCGGGCAAAAAAGACATAGGACACAATTCATGACAACTAGGTCGGAAGTACTATTTTAGATTTATACTTTGTTCAGGAGGACGAGTATCAACTAGACCTTTACTTTTTAACTTTTATAAAAATATTAGCTAGTAATTGTCTTCCGAAGCAAGACCTTGTAGTTACCTTCGGGACAACTGCCAATTTTTAACATTTTTCCCAGAAGAGGTTCGGTGAGAGGTGACGTGGCGCTTGGTTATAATTTGGTTCACCTTGCCAGAATGTAATCTATTTGTTGAAGAATGATTCACTGAAAACGGGCTTGAAGGGTCTTCTGAGAAGACATGTGATTTGGGTGGTTTTACAGGGTTTCACAACCTAAAGTTAAATAAGTATAGCATATTGTAACTAATGTATTAGTGTTAGATTGACTCATGTATATCTATTGACATTTTTGTTTCACTTATTTACTTCTTTTTTATTTAATTAATGTTATATTAGTTCTTGTAAAACTAAATAAAAGTGACATTCTAATAGCTAGCCAAATAAACCAGGTCGCTCGTAGCATCCCTATTTAAAATATATTTAGTTTTTAAAAACTATTCAAAATTTAGTTTGTTTGGGCAAACTTAATACTTCCTCCTCCCGCTTCTTCAGGTCTAGGTCTAAAGATTGAAAAGCCAAAGTTCAAATTAAGAACCTGTGAGTCTGAAGTTGGGTACTATCAAAGCCTAACTTAATTTGAATTTCATTTAAATTGGTATGAAGTTAGGCTTTTGCAGTGTAACTTCATACCCGTATGTCTGAAGCTGATTCTGAAGTGGTTAAATTTTAAAACTTTATAAATTTGACCTTTTCAAAATAGGGTCCTAAAAACGACTATTTGTGCACTTTGCCCATATGATAGTAAAATCAAAAAGGGGAATTTACCTATCTATACTATAATAGAAACTTATTTGCCACTTTTCTTTATGTTCCTTAAATATTACATTTTCTATCTATATTTACTATTTATATACAAAATCTTAATAAAGAGAGCAATCCTTAAAATTAGGATGTAACTGATATAACCCCCCTCCTCACGCCGCTCCCCTCCCCATCTCACTCTCATGTATATCTGTTATACAAAGCCCCTTTTTTCATCATATTTTTAAATAGATTTCAAAATATTTCTTTCTCTTTCGTACAAATCAACCCAAATCTCTCCCTCTTCACACAAATCCATCGATATTATCTCTAAAATTGCAGCAACAAAGAGTTCTCCATTGATAATCATTAAAAAACTTTGATGCTTTGAATTCAATATTTGGGCTTTACGAATTTGTGATTTGTTTGGATTGTGTGTTCTTGAAAATGATTGAGAATATATCTTGGAGTTTTATATCTCAATTTTGAGGGAGATTGGTTAAGTTTAGAGTTATTTTTAGGTAAAATTTTATATTGAATCTCGTAGAAGAAGAAGTTTCTGAGTTGTATCACGATTGTATGATAATTATATCATAAATGTATCAGATTTGTTTCATAATTGTATCGCAATTATATCAAAGTTGTATTTGACTTGTATCCGATACATCAATACCTAAAACAATACCTGATACAATACTAATACAATTATAATACAATATTGTATCAGAATTTAAGTTTATAGTTGTGATTGAAACTTGAAGAAGATGAAGATCAGTATTGTATCATAATTTTTCAGAACTGTATCACGATTGTATCATTATTGTATTTGTATCATAATTGTTGCATAAATTATATCACAAATGTATGATAATTGTATGTTAATTATATATGGCGACCCGCAATTGTAAGTTTGTGCCCAATTTTACATTTGAATTTTGTACGAGACATTATCTTATTAGTAATAGTTTTGGTAGAGTTTAACGATTTTTGAATTGTTGAAAAAACTTTTAGCAACTGATTTTTTCTGTCATCGCATGACATTCTATGCCGTGTGTATAGATTTCTAACTGCAAAGAAAAAGTTTTTTTTTTTGCTATTATGGAATTATTTTCCTAATATTATAACAATAATATGAACATATAATATGTTGTATAACATTATATCCATTCAACCAAAACCATTCAACAATTGAAGCAAAATTACCAGCTTCTTGTTGAAGACGTGCAATTATAAAAGAGAGAGAGAGAGAGAGAAGAGGAAATCTATAAGATATTAGGACGCGTGAAATGAGGAGAAAGGATATAATTGAATTCCTTAATTGAACACATTAATAATGGAATGAGAGCCTTTTAAAGGGGGACTGTATACAATTTGTAAGAAAAATCTAGATACTTTTTGAAAAAATACAAAACCTAGAGAAAATAAATTAATAAGTTCCTATTATAGTATATGTAGGAAAAACTCCCAATCAAAAAAGCATTTACAACCTATTTGAATTAATGGACCTTGACTCAAGCCCAAATTCATCGTAGCGAGCTGATTTTTTTTAAATAAATAACTGCAAAAAGATTAACAGGATATAATCTATTGAAACCCGTCTTTATATTTATGTGCTTTTTTTAAAAAAGATATAATCATGCTAAGGCAGCCAGAAAGTAGAACGCTATGGCTTCAAATATGTTATCATTTACTAAATTGTGAGCTCATCGTAATTGTGATTATGTTGGTGTATGAGGCAAAATCTATCTCTAGAGTATCTAAGCCAAGATAATATTATGGGAAGGATTCTCGAGTCTACGTTAGTCGAAGCGACCCAAGAAGCAACAAAGTCCTTGGCCGAAGTATCGACATGAGCCATAGTCGAGATGTTGACAAGGACCGTAGTCGAGATGTCAACAAGGGTCGAGTTCGAGGTTGAATATCAATGATAAGAGTTGTAACAGCGAGTTTGTCAGGATAAGATATTAAAAGAAAATATTCTAGTGGATATTCTCTACACTTGTACTATTAGGGTTTCTTAGGAACATATCTCATATATATAGAAAAAAGAGATAATGATAAGGGCATGTGATATTCATTTGTAAGAATACTCTTTGATAAAAAGATTCTCTCTCTCTCTCTCTCTCTCTCTCTCTCTCTCTCTCTCTTACTAAGCTTACTAAGATACAAACACCACCTTTTCACTGATATTCTTGTCTATATTATTTTATATTTCCATCAGATCCGAGAATAACTCGAACATTTAAGGATTTGTCTGTCACTCATCATTGTCAGAAGGAACAACCATCTAGTTCATCATTTTTTGGGTGAATCATTCCTCCTATTTACTTAAATGTCATTTATTGTTATTCATTGCTATTAAATGCTACATTATTGCTCATTCTTTTTGGAATAGTTATTGTATATTGTTATCACTATTTGACAAAAACTATCTAATATTTATTGCACCCTTGGAAGCTACATCTAGAAATATTATTGTTAACTAAGTTTGACCCATAATTACATAAATTTAATTATTTGAACCAAGAGCCATATTTTTTGTCAAACAAATTGGCGCCGTCTGTGGGGACTTCTTAGTTAAATTTTTAGTTCCTCTAGATCTATGACTGACACGAGTCACTAATGTCACAAAACCCAATATCTTATTTCTTTGTGCATACACAACCCTACATGGCAGGTAACTGAGAAGAAAGGACGAGAATAGCATGTGACCTCCCAACCAACCTCATGAACGTCATCAATGAAAGTTGTGAAACCGCGGGTGAGGACACGACGCCCAGTACATCCCTTAGGCGAGACGGGTCACCACCCCCTTACTGCAGCATCATCACAAAATCTCATGGTAAGGGAGCCTCCACGTATGTGGGGGGAAGAGACACCCCCAGCTTTAAAAAAGCTCCTTGAAGTATGGCTAATTGACATGCTAACCCGCGTCCTCAACAAGCCCACTCGGGATACGAATACAGAAAACGCAAAGACTTGCATGATACAACAAGCGGACGAGCAGTGTAACCAGCTTTTTCCTCCAACGACAGGTATTACTCACAATGTCATTGATAGTGCAGGTGACAACTCCCTTGCAGCCATTCGGAAAAGGATGGAAGAAATGGAGAATGAAAACAAGACGCTCCGAGATCAAATGAAAGAACACCAAGAAAGGGTCGATAAAATGTCGGGCGCCCCTACGCTATTGCCGAAGAGGTATGCCGGCCGGTTCGTCGAACAGTCGTATAGTGATGACGCAACCCCACATGCTATACCAAAAACCTATAAAATACGGCCCTACCTCTGGATATATGATGGCACAACCAACCGACCCTGAAGATCATATGACTCATTACGTCACCTCCGTAAAGAGCAACGACCTCGCCAAAGAACAGGTGTCTTCCATCTTACTGAAGAAGTTCGGCGAAACCCTCACATGAGGGGCATTAACCTGGTATTCGCAGCTACCAGCAAGCTCCATAGAAACCTTTGAAGAAATGGATGACAAGTTCGTAACGGCCCACGCCGGAGCCAAGAAGGCCGAGGCGAGAGTGAATGACATATTTGCTATTAAACAATCTCTGGGAAAGGGGCTGAGGAAATTCCTTGCCCGGTTCAACCGAGTAAGGATGACTTTGCCAAACGTGTCCGAAGGGATGTCGGTCGCAGCTTTTCAGAAGGGCTGAGTAGGGATGGTTCAAGAGCAATGAGGAAACTGTTGAGTCAGTTGATGAAGTACCCCCCAACCACTTGGGTCGAAATCCACAATGCTTATTGTGCCGAGGTCCACGCAGATGAGGACGACCTCAACGGGCCAACTAACCTCGATACAAGCGAAATCAAGAAAGGAGTGAAGAGACAATGCCAGAAGAGATCATCCAATTCCGCGACCTAACAGGGAACAACATCAACCATATATCAGAACGGCCGCCCCCCTCCCCCCACTACGAAGAAGGTCCATCCAGACCAAGGATGGGAACCCATCGGAACGACAAAGTTATGTCCTCGTATTATCTGCTCACAATTTTTGTGTGTCACCTACAGAGATAGTCTACGCCCTGGAGAAGCTTAGGCCAAAAGTGAAGTGGCCACCAAAGATGAGATCAGACCCTAATACCAGAAAATACGACGCTCTATGTGAGTTCCACCAGGAATGAGGGCACAAGACTGAAGACTCCATCGCCCTGAGGCAGGAAGCCGTGAATATGTTACGACAAGGACACCTTAAAGAGTTGCAAAGCAATAAGGGAGGAACCAATTTTGCCAGAGGACACGAACATCAAGGGCCACCTAGACCACCCTCACCAGCCCTTACCATCAACATGATCATTGGCAGTGACGACGACGCCTCTATCAACAACGTGAAGTTCACCACTACCCACAAACTCAAGCGATCTATCACCCACGAACGGTACGACGAACTCGAAGAAAGTATCATCTTCGACAAGTTGGACGCCGACGGTTTAGATTTTTCTCATAGTGACGCCCTCGTTATTACTCTGCGAATTTTAGATACTGATGTTAAACGCATTATGATAGATGACGAGAGCAGCGCGTGCATTATCCATCCCTGAGTACTTAGCCAAATGAAACTCAAGGATAAGATAGTACAGCGCTGCATCACGCTAACTAGTTTTAACAATGCAGTTGAACGGACATCCGGGGAAATTACACTCCCCATTTTGGCCGACGGAGTGACTCTCAAAACAACTTTCCATATCATGGACCAAGAAACCGCGTATAACGCCATAGTAGGATGACCGTGGATATACCCCATGAAGGCCGTCCCCTCCAGCTTATACCAAGTCATTAAATTCCCAACTCCATGGGGAATAGTCACCATACGAGGAGAGCAACGTATGTCACGGGAATGCTACCGCATTTCTTTATACAGCACGGCCACCCAACAAAAGAATAACAAAGAAAAAGAGACATAGCAATCATCAGGGTCAAGGTATGGGCATGACAAGATCGGGGAAGGCATCAAAGAGCCCGACATAGTCGAAGCTGCGGGATCGACCATAGAAGACCTCAACCCCGTTCAATTAGATCCCAATGACCATAGCAAGAAGGCCTATATCGGTTGCAAACTTCAGGTTCATGGTAAATTCAGTCTATTCTTAAAAGCTAATACGGATTTGTTTGCTTTCAGCCATGCAGATATGACGGGCATCCCAAAAGAAATCATCACGCATAAATTAAACGTCGACCCCTTCCACCCCCCACCCCACCCCCCCACCCCACCCCCCGGTAAGGCAGGTCAGGTGTAAATTTAACTCTGCAATCAATGACGCAATGCGTGATGAAGTGGAAAAACTGTTAGAAAATGGTTCCATCAGGGAGTCGAAGTACCCCAAGTGGGTCGCCAATGTAGTAATGGTTAAAAAGAAGAATAGGAAATGGTAGATGTGCGTGGACTTCACATATTTGAACAGATCATGCCCAAAGGATTCGTTCTCGCTACCTCACACTGACCATCTCATTGACGCAACGGCCGGGCATGAGCTGCTAAGCTTCTTGGACGCTTACTCAAGCTATAATCAGATCCTCATAGAAGAGGAAGATCAGGAAAAAACCAAATTCATCACCCACCAAGGAATGTACTGCTACAGGGTCATGCCCTTTGGACTAAAGAACACGGGGGCGACTTACCAAAGGTTGGTGACAAGGATGTTCAAGGATCAGCTCGGTAAAATAATGAAAGTATATATAGACGACATGCTAGTCAAGTCCAAAAGGGGAGAAGATCACATCGACCATCTGAAAGAAACTTTCGACATACTCAAACGGTATGGAATGAAACTGAACCCGTAGAATTGTGCGTTTGGCGTAACCTCAGGGAAGTTCCTAGGTTTCATGGTATCACATCGAGGGATCGAGGTCAATCCTGACCAAATCAAAGCCATCGAGGGGATACCTAAACTCTTGACCACCAAAAATAGGTCCAAAGGTTGACTGGACGCATCGCCGCCCTACCAAGGTTCATCTCGCGGTCGTCAGATAGGTGCCATAAATTCTTTGGAGTACTTAAGAAAGATAACGGCCTCCAATAGACTTCGGAGTGCATCCAGGCTCTGAGGGAACTAAAGGCATATATGTCGTCGCCGCTTTTGCTTTCAAAACCAGAGTCGGGGGAGAATCTCCTCGTTTGTCTAGCTGTGTCCGAGGTAGTTGTAAGCGCAGTCCTAATTCGAGAAAATAAAGGTACGCAATCTCCCATCTACTACATTAGCAAAACACTAGTCGATGCCGAGATGAGGTACCCACACCTCGAGAAACTAGATTTGGCCTTAGTCATAGCTTCACGAAAGCTAAGACCATATTTCCAATGTCACCCCATCTCGGTCGTCACAACGTTCCCTTAAGAAGCATTTTGCATAAACCCGAGCTATCGGGAAGGCTGGCCAAGTGGTCCATTGAGCTAAAAGAGCACGATATCACGTACCATCCGCGAACGGCGATAAAGTCACAAGTGCTCGCTGACTTCGTCATCGACTTCAGCGCAAAAATAATGCCTGAAGTCGAAAAGGAAGTCGTCCAAACTTCCCCCCAAACACAAGACCCCTGGGTCCTATACACTGATGGCGCATCCAATGCGTCGGGGTCCGGACTGGTGCTCGTACTCGAAGTCCCAACAGGCGAAGTAATTTGCCAGTCCATAAGGTGCCCGACTATGACTAACAACGAGGCCGAGTATAAGGCCCTCATTGCAGGTTTGAGACTAGCGCTCAAGTATGGGGCAAAACGTTTAAAATTACATTGTGATTCCTAGCTCGTGGTCAACCAAGTCACAGGGACTTTCCAAATCAAGGAACAAAGATTGCAAAAATACCAGACCGAAATATGCAAGTTGCTGCCCGAGTTCGACGAATGCCAGCTCGACCAAATTCCACGAGCACAAAATGCCAAGGCAGACGACCTTGCTAAACTAGCCGCAACCACCAAAAGCATCACAACAGGAGACAAAAACGTGGTCTATCTCCTCAACTCATCGCTAGACCAAGTCAAGGTAAGAAACATTAACTTAACTTAGGACTGGCATAATCGTATTGTCGTATACTTGCAGGACGACACACTCTCAGGCGATAAAAAAGAGGCCAAGAAACTGAGAATGCAAGCAGCCAGATGTAGTATCCTCCACAATGACCTGTACAAGAGAATTTATGTCCTTGAAGAAATCCACGAAGGTCATTGTGGGGCTCATTTCGGCAACTGAGCACTAGTCAGATGCCTCATACGGGCAGGATATTACTGGCCTACCATGAAAAAGGAGGTCACAGACTTCGTGAAAAGATGCGAGCAATGCCAGAAGTACGCCCCAATGATTCACCAAGCGGGCGAACACCTCCACTCAGTCACCTCACCTTGGTCGTTCATCAAATGGGGAATGGACATCGTGGGCCCCCTCCCGATAGGGCGAGGTAACATACAATTCCTTTTAGTTTTAACTGACTATTTCTCTAAGCGGGTGGAAGTAGGAGCATTCACCCAAATACGGGAACAGGAAGTAATCACCTTTATATGGAGAAATATCATATGCATGTTCGGCCTTCCCAAAGAAATCAGTTGCGACAACGGACCCCAATTCACGGGAAAGAAAATCGCCGAATTTTTCGAGAAATGGCATATCAAAAGAATAATCTCAACCCCGTACCACCTCGCTGGAAACGGGCAAGCAGAGTCCTCTAACAAATTGATACTAAACATCATGAAGAAGAAGCTTGAGGACGCCAAGGGAATATGGTCAGAAGTACTACCTGAAGTAGGAGTACCTTAGACTGGACTCTCCGACCTCGACTGGTATTACTGCCTCGGTCCCGTAGACCAAAGAGTAGGCAAGCAACGATGAGCAGAAGGCAAGAACTCGACGAAGTCGACGAACGAAGAGATATGGCCTATATAAGAATGATCGCCCAAAAATAGCAAGTAGAATGCTATTATAACAAAAAAGCAAAGGTTAGGCCGCCCAAAATCGGGGACTACGTACTGAAAGCTAAAACTCAAGCGAGCAAAGATCCCAGGGAAGGCAAGATGGGAACAAATTAGGATTGTCAGTACAAAATCATAGCAAAAGCAAATAAAGGATCATTTCAACTAGAAACAATGGAAGGAAAGCTACTACCATACAACAAGAATATCAGCCACCTCAAATACTTCAACTTCTAAAAGAAAAAGCGTCCCCCAAGTCGTACTCTTTTTCCCTCACTTGAGTTTTGTTCCGGTTGGGTTTTCTCAAGGAGGTTTTTAACGAGGCGGCGAAGGGAACACTCCAAGTCAAAGTATGCGAAGGTAAGGCCGTGATCACCATTTCATTGCTTGACCTCTCACTATTCTCCAGATCGACCAATGAAGGGACTAGATAGACCGAGACTAGGACTGGAACACTAGCCAACACTCAAAAATCTGTAAATTTCTCCAAGTATGTAGCGAAAACAACAATGTCAAGGCAATAACTTTATACTTATCAGCACATCTTTCTTAAATTCAGGTTATGTTCGACCTCGCTCGAACCACTATTTTAAAAGGCTTTTTTGGGACTCGCCCCTGGGCGGGGCACTATCAAAAAGCTCTGAGACTCACGCGTGGGGCTCAGTTCTGTGAGGCTTACGCCTTAAGCGCCCGACTGTACGCTTTAAACACGCCTAACGCCCAACGCTCGGGGCTCGCCCAACAGTTTTTACCCAAATCATATGTCAATTTTTCTAATTAGCATTGTTGACCCTCAAAATTCTTTATCAAATGAAGGATTAAAGGTTTATTCATCTATATGAATATGAAGATTGAAAGTAACTCAAATAACGAGACATAATATTACATATTTACTCATTGAGAACACCATGAGGGTTAAATAGATAGCAAAAATTTATATTTTCACTTGTTGTTGGCCTTCATGTCTTAGTTCTATGTCTCTCAAAATTATTAATTTTTTTTTATTTTGCTATTTGAAAGCAATTTTGTATTTACTCATGAAGGATAATATTACTGGTAAAGTTTATTAATTATTATCTTTTAAGAAGGTAAAATATTTAGTTAGTAATATTTATTAAGAAATTATAATTTTCTTATTATTTGGAAGTTAAGACGTTATAGTTGATTTGTATTTCGAAGTAACATTAACATTATTGATTGTTTATGTTGTTAAGAATATGCTGGATATTTTTTTTTCTATGAGTAATTATTTGTAATTTTCTTAAACTTTTATTGTATTTTTATATTTTTATGTTATTATGCTATTTTATTAATTTATAAATTAAAATATTTAAAGATCCATAGGGCTTACGCCCCATGCCTCGGAGCTTACTCCTCACCTCATAATAGGTAAAACGCCCCGCCTCATACCCCCGCCTTTTAAAATACTTGCTCGAACTAAAGCCTACCGGCCCTCAGTCATAATTAAGTTTAAGTTATGTTTGACCTTGCTCGAACTAATACCTACCAGCCCTCAGCCATAATTAAATTCAAGTTATGTTCGACCTCGCTCGAACTAACACCTACCGGCCCTCGACCATAATTAAATTCATGTTATGTTCGACCTCGTGAATTAACACCTACAGGCCCTGGGCCATAATTAAAT